CACTGGATAGCTGACAGGTCCCACAGCACACACAGGAACATGGTCAAGCCCCACATGGACAAGTATACAGCATCAGATTCCCAAACCTAGGGTGGAAAAGAAATACATATTCAGAAAAATCATAGGCCAAACTTACAAGTCATAGATTGATAGAACATGCATGTCATGAAACAAGACACATCATACATTCTAAATTTATAATATATCATGACCATGCAAACAATAATCACATAAAAATACACCTCACATAATATTTCACATCAAGACAATCCATATAACAAGTTTTGACACAATTTGACAGAACATTGCCAGCTTCATCTTAAAGGCATCCAATGCAATTTTAGGGCGGCAAAACTGGAAATATTCTGAATAAGGCAATCTGTATGATATTGACACATACTATCCCACATTAGCTCATTTCAATCAGTATTTCGTACTTCAGGTATTCAAAACTGCAGAAACAAGCCCCAAGTTTAGTCCTTTATTTTCTGGGTGGTACCCTAAAAATCAACCCACTGGTCCTTCCAGTAACCATTTTTCGTCAGAATTTTGGTCATTTTTGCTCCATAAATGTCGATATACATTGACAGTGTTGTTTCAACTTAGTATGTAGATAAATGACCAGAATATTGACTTTGAAAATTCTGGTTTCCAAGCCCTAAAAGTAAAAACTGCACTGGATGCCTTTAAGTGTGCATGGAGTAAAATCTACTACACTAGTCTACAGTTCAAAACCAACAACCTGTAACCAACAACACATTTCAAATTCATTTCAAACACAATCTAGTTCAACAACTTTCAAGCACGGGTCAAGATGACAAAACATCATAGGAAAACAAAGCAGTTTTACAACATAATTTCTCAATTCTTGTAAGGCCATGTTGATTTGATTATATGGATGACATCCGCGCGCGCATGAATTTTCGGCCGTTTCCAAATAGTTTTCAACCATACACCTCACATTTCAATCTTACAAAACAGTTGCAAAATGAGCAAAAGTATACCGTAAGTTGCATAAAAAATATTTTAAAACGATGCCAATGTCGTAGAATGCCAAAATCAAACGAAAAAAAAGGAAAAATGTAAAGAAATGAATTTGAAGAGTAGATCCGCCAAACCATATTCTGTGTCATTTGTTCAACCTTCATGGCCAGGGGTTTTTCTAGAAAAATTTGGCATGGGGGAGCACAATCATGGCGAGGGAGCGAAGCGACCGAGGGGGGGTTGGTGCGGAAGGGGGGTATCCCCCCTTCCGCCATGTGAAGCCTTTGAAAATTTGAAGTTGAAATGGGACATTTTGAGGCTACTTGAGGGGGGAAATATGAACTCTTTCATTGTATGTTTCTTTAAAAACAAACAACTATGATTGTACATGTAACCTGGTTGTAAAAAAAATATTTAGACACTCACTCACACAGTCCTCTTACACAGTCCTCTTACAATTAATTGAATATGATAAATATAATGCTCAATACAAATTCCCATTAGTATAATGTATGTGAAAGGCATAGGAGAAGGATAAATAGACTAAAAGAATTCAAGGTTATTTTTCTCAATATTCTTCCCAAATTTCTATTTCTATCTCCCTTGTAAAATATACATTGTAAGTACATGTACAATCAGCAGTACACACAATCTGCAAATCACCCTTTCTAGTACGCAATTAGTGATTAATGTTACTAGTAGCTCCAGATGACAACACTGGGTTTGCCACAAGCTCAAACCTTTCCCATAATGGCAAAATAGCAACACATTCATCCAAGCTGCTACAAACTCAGGTCTCATGTTTCACTTCAGAGCCTGTTCTATAGTATGCAAATGAAGGAGGCCCAGCTACTTGTCTTTGAGCAAGTTCTCAATGAACATTGTTTATTCCATTCAAACTTTTACTACTAGAGCTGAATTTTCATGTTTATGGTAAGATTTTGGAATTTTTATGAGAGTAACATAGTTTGTAATGCTAGAATACATTGTTATGTGGTGTTGTTTTTGTATTTTTACTGGAAAAAGATAATTTTGAAAAAGACTTAGGCTTCAATCTGAAAATTGATATGAGGGCGCTGGTTTGTTACATGAGGGCGCAGCGCCCCTGTTCCCCTGTTTAGAAAAACCCCTGATGGCCATAACGAAAGCAACTTTTTTTTGCAATTTTTTTTTTTATTCGTATGCGCACATCAGTTTGGGGGTTCCCGGAGGATGTCATCCATATAATCAAATCAACATGGCCTAAAAGGCAAGTGTAAAATTGAGGAGGCTAAAAACCTCCTTTGTAAAAATACATACATTATAAGCGCCAAAAAATTCTGACCACTGAAATACAACCAAGTAAATCTATCTTGCAATCATCAGTAATTCATAAATACGTACAACCAATTAAAATTGTCAGACCAGGTAAAATGGTCAAACTCTATATATAATACTACATGTATTACCATAATTTATGCGCCCTCGTGTATGCCACGCCACATGCTCAAAAACTCGGTCATATTTCTGTGGTGTGACGGCGTCTTTCCACGTAAGAATTCTCAAAAGTGGTCACAAGGAGACAGAGAACAAAGTTACTCACTACTCACCACCTAAAACAGACTTTTGTCGTCTTCCAGGGACGCATTTTTAGCAAAAATTTCTCCCGCTCCATGTTCAGCCGCCATCTTGGAACTTGTGAGCTCGCATGGACTCATGGGTAGATCCCACCTGTTAGGCCTCAGCCGATGATTTGAATAAAGATAATGCAATCATTTCTCAGTGGAAGCAAACGTTTTGTATTTATGGGTTCACCACACCACGAAGTGGTGGTGAACCCATATTGCTTTTTCTGATGTTTCTTCTCCTCCTTCTCCTTCTCCTTCTCCTTCTCCTTCTCCTGCCATTTTTTAAATGGATTCAGCTTCTTCATTTTAGGGCCTAAGGTCCTGAAATTTGGTATGGAGGTACAGTGGGCAAATACCCCTAGGCGTTTTTTAAATTTTTGTGATACAGGCTTTTAGAATGGTTTTATTTGAGTTTTTTGGCTGTGTTATAGCAAATGTATTACTGAGTTAGTGTGCAGTGTTACCACATTTGGGCATGACTCATCACAATGGAATGCAGGGCATCAACCAATAGGCATGCAGCTTTCCTCTATTCTCCTTGCTGATTGGCTGTTGGAATTTAACAGGCTTAACTTAATTAATACCTGCTCAGATCCATTCCATACTGACAGTATGTCTGTATTCAAGTGTTTTGGTAGGTATTTCAAGCTTTCCTGCTCCAGCATTGGAATGCGGGGCATGAACACTTCTTTTTTTCTTGAAAATCAACAGTTTGCATTATGCAATTAAAAATCCTAACCAATAATGTAGGGAATAGCTATCCAACTGTTGTAGTCTTAGTTGTATGTTACTTCATACTATAGTTATATCAATGTAAAGCATTGTTTTCCCTTGTGTTTCTCATTCTTTCCCTGCCATGTCGTAAAATGTGGTGAAGCCATTGCTGTATTTGCTCCAAAGCAAATGTCGGCCTTTCTAGTTTTCCTTCCTTTTTGTCATGTTTAGAAAGAAACTGTGATGTGCAACTCGGTAGAATATTGATGTCACACTCGTGGAAGGGGAATACAAGGACATGTCAAAATGTAGCAGTTAGCCAGTTACTTCAATGCCTGTCCTTGGTGCTGAACGCCATCCACACATAGCCAAACATTCCTGTTCCTGAACACATTTAGCTACAAATAGCCAAACAGTCTTGTCCCCGGTCACCATAGCTAGATGGTACAATACATGTCCTTGGTGCTGAACGCCATCCACACATAGCCAAACATCCTGTTCCTGAACACATTTAGCTACAAATAGCCAAACAGTCCTGTCCCTGGTTACCATAGCTAGATGGTGCAATACCTGTCCTTGGTGCTGATCGCCATCCAAGCACAGCCAAACATTTCTGACTACAAAATATCATCAAAATATCATGTGAGCCAGCTTTTATGCAGGCACGGTACTACAAGACACCTTACATGTGCTGCACAAGTTTGGATGAGAAAAACTTGCAACTTGTCAAGACTAACTGACCACCAAGTTATCATGTACAAACTCTTCACATATCATTTGTATCAGGACAACTAGGCTAAAGATGTATTTAGAGCCCAAAACAAAGACTTTCAAAGTCAAGAAGAAGATATGAAAGACAAAAATTACAGAATTTATTTTTTGGCATACCATGTTCAGGGGTGCTGAGTGGCGCTTTTGATACATGGCGCTATTAACCGATGAGCTACCCCTTTAACTGCAGTGATTTTTTTCGCCGTTACGGGGCGCTTTTGATCCATGGAGATTTTAACTCCTCAGAACTATACAATCAGGATTTCTTTCTGACTGGAATTGTAAGATAGTCGATCATTCTTTGAGTCTCAATGATTTAAATACAGATAAACTGCACTAAATTACGGAGGAAGCGTTAGAATACCTTTTTTTGGGGGGAGGCTTTCTCAAGAATGGGTTGGAACCCCTGAATATATAAAGTGTGCATACCTCATATATTTCTGATGCTGTATTTAAAGATCGCTTTAGATTCCATTTTTTTTAAAGTTTGATGCGGCGGTCTTACGTTGCCAAGTGGAAAGATGTGAATATAGACCTTCCAAAATCCTTTGAAAGACTTAGTAATTGCGGATGACGTGAAGTGGTAACCCTTTCAATCATTGGAATAACCGGTTTTTCCACTCTGGCACACAGTGTGTTTCGTGTATCATATGACAGGAGTACACAGTGTATTTTGAAACGTAGTGTGCGAAGAAACAACGATTTCATCAAAAACTTGATAACCTACCGCTTGTGGATAGAATTGGCCTACAGTGCAACCAGGGTCGTCTTTTTATTTGCAGCGAAAGCACTCGGACAAATATAGAGAGAACACCGAGACTACCTATAGAAACTCTGCAAGACAGAAGCAAGACCAGTATATAATGGGGAGCGTCTCACACTACCTGCTGGTGGCCTTGTCTTCATATCTGAGCTACCTTCTTGTCTACAGTAGGCTGGCACCGGTCCTGCTGACGACACTGGCCTTCCGACGGTATTCTTCACTGGGCAAGGCGAAACAAAAATACGTCCATTGGCTGTGAGTAACAACAATGTTCACAATACTATTATTGTACAGTAGTACAGTAGTATTGAGCTTGGCGAGGTGGTGACTAGCATGCCGGTGTCTCGCCCATTAGTTATGGCTTCACCACTAAGTGGTGAAGAGATATTGTTTTTCCTCATGTTTCTTCTTCTCCTTCTCCCACAATTTCTTTCAATTGACTCAACTCCTTCATTTATGGGCCAAATAACATTAAATTTGGCATGAAGGTAGAGTGACCAAATACCCCCCATACTGATCTTTGCGAGTTCTGATATCTTAAAATATTTAACTAACATTTGGGGAGTGGTAGACGTTATATCACGGTGGAAGTATTAATAATGTCTGTATTAAATATGATTAATGTAACTAGCTATATATGACTTAAAAAGCACGATCTATTGTCGGAATGGGACAATTCACACAATGTTCTGCGCACACAAGAGAGAGAGAGAGATAGAGAGAGAGGGAGGGAGAGAGAGAGAGAGACTGGTTTAGTTGTGCCATACAAGTACATACAAACGCTTGAAAGCAGCCATATTTGGCTTGTAAAAACTTTTTAAAGTATATTGTGTTTTAAAAAACACAAGATGCGCTTATAGTACAGCTATTTGATAAAAGTTAGTTACATTTGATAAAAACCTGCATATTAAGTTTACATTAGAAAATTACTACACGTTCAAAAGTACAATTATTATGCAATATGAAACAATTCAATGTTCCTTAGTTTAAAATTACAGAAATAACCTACAGTTGTAATATACAAGGGTTGTATACGTAAAGGCTGATATGAAGTGGATCATTTTTTAGCGTTCAATAACTTAACAGAATACGGCAGAGTAGTGTTCAAGAAACGGGACGTTCTGCACCTAAACTGGCTTTGTCGTGCGAATTTCTGAGGTTTCTACCATGTTCGTCAACCCGGCGCGAGGGTAGCCAAGAGACAAAGTTGGACTTAACTAGTGATTTGAATAGCAAACTTAACACAAACTTAACACTGAGCTCATCTAGAGATGTTAGACCACACAGACGAAGTGCAGAACTGTAGTTGGTGTACATGCTACCAAGAATGATGCGAGGCCGTTGCTCCCAACTTAAGCTTGCCAGATAAATAAACACAGTTCACATTTGTAATGAGTCTGCTGAACAATTTTCATCGCGGTGCAAGATTTTGCACACCAGTGTTCCAGTGATTACCCACACACCGTGCTTCTCTACCCAAGTGAAGTAATCTATAAAAACTTTAGTCCGCCCCACGAAAATTTTCATTCAAGTATTTCAGTTAATCTGTTTAATTGTGATTATTTTGTTATGCCTTTAAGGCTTCATCTTCTGCTGCACAGTGTTTTTAATTTAAATTTAATTTACTTCACCTGGTATCTTGTTTTTTTTTGTGCGAAATAAATTTTAAAAAATTCCCTAGTGATTATGAACCCCTAGCCATTCTAAACGCTCGTCATATATGCTGTTCAGGGACTCATAGTATAAACAGACAATCAGTACTTTTTATACATATATATACATGCACGGTTCACGTACAGACGTTTGATTCATGTGTTAGTTCAAAAGAAAAAAAAAGAAATCCGGGAAAAACACTTCACAACTTAATCCAATATAAGCCCAGGTACACTCTTTTGTCAAAAAACACGGACAACTAAAAGAGCAAATTCAAAGTGAAACTTCAAACAAAGGGAAAGAACGGACCGAACAATAAAGTAGTTGTAGCCTGACTGATATAACCGGCATAGACCAATCTGTTTCCTCGGAATACCGGAGTCAGTACACTTCAGATATACGTGTAGCTGGCGTGTCGCAGGCATGGCTGAAAACAACTCCTCTGACATCGCACCAACTCTCTCCACGTGCAGTTCGGCAATCGTGAACAGCATGACCCAAGTAAGTTACAATTTATAAAAAGAAGTTTATTGCAAATTCGTTCCCGGGGGATAATTGCAAATTACAAACAGAAAAGAACAATGAAACAGAGTATAAAATAACTAAAACCTACATGATAAAAGGTAGTTATCTAAAGCTATAGCTATATCTAAAACTATGTCTGAGGGGTTTGACTTCTTTTTTTTAGACCATGGAAGATGTAATGTCCCACCTTTTCCAAAATTAGTGGGTTTTGGGAAGTTAGAAGAAGAATTTTTTTCTTTATCTGTAAGTTTAGTAAAATTGGGATAAATTGTAGAAGTTTGAAAAGTTAACTCATTTCGAGCGTTGCTATGAAAGGAACAATTTGAGATAAAATGTATTGCGTCTTCCACAGCATTTGCATTCATCTGGTGATTTTGATAGTGAGCCTACTTCAGTTGCCGCGGATGGCCAGTGCTATAAACCGCCGCACCCGCCGTTCCTGAATCCGATGTACGCACCAGGTGTTCCCTCTGCATCAACACTTCAGGCTGACAACCCACAAATTTTGGAAAAGGTGGGACATTACGTCTTCCATGATTTTACAGAAGAGAAGTCAAACCCTTCAGACATAGTTTTTTAGACATAGTTATAGTTCTAGACAGCTACCTTCATCATGTAGGCTTTAGTTATTTTATACTCTATTTCATTTTTATGTTTTGTAATTTGCAATTAGCCTTCGGGCACGAATTTGCAATAAACTTTTCAATTATATGTGATGGCATTCAGGGAGACGATGGCAGTGACAACAACACGCTTACAGCTGCAGAGAGCGGGCAGACAGTCCATGTTACCCCGGGTGATAACAAGGATAAACCCGCTGACTCACTAGATGCTCGCCCAAGGGCCGATAACATTGGCGGCCTTCTTCACAACCCGCCAAACCCACAAAAAGACGATGGCAACAGGGACAGTAACGCACGTGCAACTGTAGCTGAGAGCGGGAAGACAGTCCATGTTACCCCGGGCGATGACAACATTGAACCGGACCAACCAGATAAGATTCAGGCTGGTAACTCTGACGGCATCCGGCCATGTGCTGTAAGGTACCAGGAAGCAGCAGCTGAGGGCGGACAGACAAACGATAATGACATTGGTGACGACAATATCGAACCTTACGCCGTTTGTGAAGAAGACGTGCAAAATACTGTGTCTCCAGGACACGCCGAGGCCTCTGATGAAAAAGGCAACACCGTTGGGCAGCAGCAGGCAACTTGCGGTAAGACAAATCTTCGTTAAGCTTCTTCTATAAGCCCCTTAAAAGATATATATAGAATATATAATCTTTTATGTTTTTTTCTGAAGTTTCTTATATAAGAACCTTGATAGATAGATATAGAATATATAATCTTTTATGTTTTTTTTTTCTGAAGTTTGAGTTGTGGCTTTTGGTGCATATGAAATTTAGTCTAGACTTTTTGATAACCCCTGTACACTAAAACAACTTCATTTAGCCCAAGCACCCACTGAAACCTCAAAGTAAATGCATGAAAATACATAAATGTGGTTTCAAAATCATGTATACAATATCTATATGACTCAGGAACTATAATGTTCCTACAACGCGGAAGAACTGACCGAGGCCAATTTAAAACAAATTCAATGACATGGGAACCCCCCACGAGGCCCATTTCAGAACTTGACCTTCGTATTCTCAACGGTATCTTGCCAACCAAAAATCATAGACAACCATTTAAGGATTCCCGAGTTATCTGCAGTACAACAAAAAACGCAAACACAAAAGGTCAGCTCCAGTCACGTAAGAACCCCCTACGAAGCCGATTTTTGGCCTTGACAATGCCCATTACTAAGACAACCTGCCTGCCAAAAATCGTGAACCACGGACCATGCCTTCAAAATTTATCGTGCATAATCTGCCAAACAGTGCCAAAACGATTTTCATAGCCTTCTTGTCGAAGGCAAATATGTGAGTCCTTGGAATCGGGAAAAGTTGCGCAGGAACGGGTTTTACTGGAATGTGTCACTCTTTACAGTGTAATAGTTTGCGTAGGCTTTGCTCATTATGGTTTTATTCGGTGGTTATAGCTACTAGGCTATATCACACCATATATATACACCAAAATCAGGCTGGTAATTAACTCGTTTTTTAGTTAATGAAATGCTTTAGTTTTGAGGTTGTAAGCAGTAGAACTGTGATATACATGTATGTAACCAATATATTATATATAGCAGGTTGAACATTAAGAAATACCAGTCATGCAAATCAGAACCTGATTCATGAAACTGCAATATCCAACACAAGAAATTGGACTCACCCAAATTTTCGACTGTACAACTCCAGTATTTTTAAAATGAGCAATCCACCGTGTCCGTGACGTCACGCAGATAACACATGTGACTCCGTGAGCAGTGGATCATAGTTTGCAGAGAGTCTGGGGCGCCCCCCGTCTCTGTTGGGGGATGGTCGTAATTCTCTGATGTTGATGGCCTCTTTAATCCCTCGTGCGAAGTCCGATGCGTTTTCTAGGATTCATACTTTATCCAATGGGACTAAATGTCCAAGTGACTCAATATGTAACGTATGTTGGGAGACTTCCGAAGTAGTCGAGCTAGGTCGTTTGTGCTCTAAGAACCTAGCCTTCAGGGATCTTTCAGTCCCTCCAATACGTATTTCTTTACATGGGCCCTAGGAGTTCTGTCCTAGACACTGTATATGGTAAAGCTAGTACCCCGCATTTATTTTCCTTTGGTGTTTTGTCCTTGGGTGAAACCAGTATATTCGTGAAACCAGTATATTCCGGAGGTTTCTAGTTGGTCTAAAACAGGTCTTGATCTCGCGTGTGTCGCAAAAAGCCTCCTGAGCCCCTCACTCAGGCCTTTCATGTAGACAAAACAACTAGATCTCTGTTTGTGCCCTTGTTGCTTTGGTTTTGATTTTGGTGTATTAGCCTTGTATAACGAACTTCAAAGACGTGGGAGGGGGACACAGACGGTTTGCAACCTATGATCCACTGCTCACGGATTCACGTGTGTTATCTGCGTGACGTCACGGAAGCGGTGGATTGCTCATTCCTTGAAAAAGACTGGAGTTGTACAGTCGAAAATTTCTTGTGTTGCATATTGCTGTTCAAACTTGTTTCACAATGACGTCTATCAACACTGATGAACTTTCAAGTTCAAAACCTGATTTGTATTTGCGTACGCAAGAAGGATAGAATTACTTTTGTTCTTACAGATGCATCCGATGCAGGCATGAACAAGAAGATGAAATGGTGGAATCTTTGCAAAATGATGTTCAAGATCACCAGCATCATTCTCATATCCATATCGTTGTTATATTCAGCAGGTCAGCATCTTTAATATTGACTTATTTTCATCCTATCATGATTATATTTTGTAGAGGGACTATAAGATGCAGCTTCTGTACTTTTCACTGTCTTTCTTAACGCATGCAGTCAAAGCCAGCACTCCTTCTTCGGAGGTGACAAAACTTTCCTCGGTGATAGCCAAGCTTTCTCCTGAGATGGGCAACAGGTTCAAGTCAATAGAGTTGCGACTGAAGGAGCAAGAACGTGAGTTAAGTCATACACAATCATAAAACAGTATTTTTTCAACATTCATTTTAATTTCATCAGCACAAATCACATAATCCTTTGAATACCTAATTTTCGAACTAAAGTGATATATTAATATGTAGATTCCGATATGATTGCAGTTTGTATTTCCCTACTATAAATAATTTATATTGTAAACAACTTGATCAGAATTCAGCCCTGTATGTCAAGGCTGCGAGATATGTTGATACAAACAAATAGACCAATTATTAAATAAATAAATAAACCAATTATTAATACCATGTCAGTCCCAACCCTCAGTATTGAATTCTTGATTAACTCATGACGGCAAGTTAAATAAAAGTTATTGCCATATTTTTTTTTATTCGCATACAGACCAACTGCTACTTTTGCGACTAAAGGAGCAAGAACGTGAGTTAAGTCATACACCATCATAAAACAGTATTTGCTAACTGCTACTAACCGCTACTTTTTAGTTTCTCAAATTTTATACTATCATGATTGATATCATGAATTGGTTATGAAAAGAGGTTGGGATATTTGGGCCTAAATTTGACCGTGAAAAAAAAATCTACAACGGAGTCCTGAAAGGTAACCCTTGCGTTGATAGTTATCAGTAGTTATCAGTAGTTGTTTTATGTGTACGAATTATCTGTTTTTATACCAAATGCTTCTTCTGTTCCTGCACTTAGCCCTCAGGCAATAATTTGAAATAAAAAAAAAACTTGTTATAATTCTTAATTAACAGGCTACCCGCCATCCAGCTGCACTAAAGTTGCAGAGAGAGGTGGATTTGATACCCAGGCGTTCTACATCATCGACCCTGACGGACCAGGGCGTGGGGTCCGGCCGATGTTCGTTCACTGTGACCTTGACGGACAAACAGGTCAGCTAAAAATGTCTGACTGGTGCTGACAAGTACTTCACACAAACACACACACACAGAAAGAGAGAGAGAGAGAGAAAGAAAGAGAGAGAGAGAGAGTGTGTGTGTGTGTGTGTGTGTGTGAGAGAGAGAGAGAGTGTGTGTGTGTGTGGATGTGCGTGCGTGTGTGTGTGTGAGAGAGAGAGAGAGAGATAGTGTGTGTGTGGGGGTGTGTGGGTGAGAGAGAGAAAGAGAGAGAGAAAGAAAGAGAAAGAGAGAGAGAGAGAGGAGAGAGAAAGAGAGAGAGAAAGAGAGAGAGAAAGAGAGAGGGGGAGAGAAGTGCTGCCTAGGAGAAAACTTTAAAGCCAGCAACCGCGTGTAGCTTTTACCTTCCTTCGAAGACTACTTTTTTCGGGATGGGGTGGGGGTTGACGGTTTTACCCAGGTTCTCTAACGTGCCAAAGGGGGTTACGCCTCTCCAACTAGAGACTTGCGGCTTATGCTGGAAATAAATTTTACCTTAAACACAGACTATAAAGATGAGGTGGAGCAATAACTGCATTCTGATATTTTCATTACAATTTCAGCAATTACGCTGATTGGTCACGACAGTGAAACACGGACACATGTGAAAGGGTTTGAAGGTCATGGCAGCTACTCCAAGAATGTGACCTACTGGATCAGCCTGGAGCAAGTGAGAGCTGTGGTGAATCAGTCATCGCGATGCAAACAGCTAATCAAGGTACGTTTTGTTTAGGCCACACCAATTTGATTTGTTGGTTCTCGGATTCGCCTCTTCATTTTTTATGATTTGCAAAAAAAAAAATAAAGTCAAAAATGCTACATGTTTTGCCCCCACCTGTTGAGGAAAGTCCTTTTCTTCCTAGTTGTTACAGTTTTTCCTTCCATCTATCAATGCAGTGGTGTGATTAAAAGTTCAAAATCTATAGTTTAAATTTTAACCCAGCAGTCTTTTGTGTTGACTCCATGGCTCGTATCGTAGCATTTTGGGCTATAATAGGATGCCTAGACCTGTTTTTATTTTTTATTTCTTTCCGCCCTGTCGCTTCATATTTTTTCTGAAAAAAAATCAGAGAACCAACCAATTAAATTGGTGTGGCCTTATAATTACATTCAAGACACACCATATGTGAGCCTATGATGTAGTCGTGCTTAATCTTTCCAAATTATCTCAAATTGCCAAGAAGGCATTTTTTGAGAGATAACCTCGAATGAGGAGTCAATAAGTTTCAGAACCCCTCTAAAGCTTCGGTCCCAATTGCGCCGGTGCCCATCGGGGATGTAGCCCCGGCCGGCCCCGGTCGGCTGTCGTGGTCACAATTAAATGTTTCCTTCAGTAGCATTTTGTTAAATAATTTTGTCACCCTCTTTGGTCGGTCTCCGGCAGGCACCCGGCAGGGACCCGGTAGATTCTCTGACAATGTCTTGTACTGATCTATACGTAATGCAGAATTCGCGTTTTTGTTGTGATCATTTGATCTGTGACGTCACACATTTTTACCCGGGTGTACGCAGTAGACACCTTTAATCTGTTCATCTGGTCTGTGACGTAACGAATGTGTCCCGGTGGACTGCCGGCAACCGGAGGGGTACCTGTCGGTGTTCTCACGATGAGGTCACGGCGTCTTTTTGTCAGCGGGGCCCGGGGCCCAAAATAGCCCGGTAGTCGCAGGGTGTCCCGCGGGGCCACGTACGGGTCACGCCCGGAAGTGCCAAAAAACAGCCCGGGGACTACCCGGCAGGGCCCCTTTTTTCAATTGGGACCGAAGCATTAGGGGGATGACAGGCAGATGTTTTTTAAACAATTATACAATATCCCACTCCAGGCATTATCTGTTGCTGTATAATGATACTTACGCTTTGATATTGCAAAGGCCATGGTGATATTCATCTCAGAATTGTACAAATTCACGTTTTCCAGTATGAATGCCATGGTTCATTGATCTGGGAGTCGAATGGAAGACCCCTTGCCTGGTGGGTGACTTGGGATGGACGCCAGGCTGACTACTGGGGAGGTGCCAGTCCTGGGAGCGGGAAATGTGCCTGCGGTGAAACAGGTAATCATAAATCATCAAGCCGAAACATTCAAGCTTATTCCATTTTAGCCGGAACAGTACAAGACTACAACAAGGGCACTATTTATCATTACCAGGATCACCATCATGATCAGAAAATATACATATACCTTTATATATTTATATACATTATCAAAATGTTTTGTTTCTTCCTGTCAAATGCTAGATCGTTTTTACATGATTAATTGAGAAATAATAGAATGTGGAGATACTTTTTTTCTTCTTTTAACCCACATATTTTAAACCCGTACCACAAACAAAACCTCTGCATGACCTTAATTCTTTGTCCAACAGGCACATGCCGGGGTAGATGCAACTGTGATGCCAATGATCGCACGTGGCGTGAGGATTCTGGATTCCTGTCCCACAAGAATGACCTGCCGGTCACCCAGCTCAGGGTTTGGGGATACCGGTATCGGTCATGATAGTGAAGAAGGCTATCACACCCTGGGCAAACTCATCTGCTATCCCTGAGTCTCTCTGTGGATAATTGTAAGTCTCTTAAAGACATAAAACAGCACATCAGTGTTCACTTAAACATTTTTAAGTTAGCATTTCAGCACTTTACTATTGTTATGACAATGGCTTTGATCAATGATCTGTTGTGATTTGAACTATGGTTATGACAACTGTTATGATCAATGATTTGTTATGATTTGAATTATTGTT